AAGTTACAAAGTTGCTTCAGGTCTATTATTTTTAGCAGCTTTCGCATACAGAATTTTAAGCAGCATCTCCTCAACCTGCTTGACCTTATTTCCGACACAGTTCAATTGATGATGAAATGATGGTGGCAGGGCGATCAATTGTTGATGAAGAGACGCAGGTGGCAGGGCATCAAACATGCCCACAATATGCCTTTAGTTTAGTATTTATTTTCAGCGGCGGTCCTTTCAGTTACATTTGAGGCAACCTGACATTGAGGGCCGTTCTTTAAATTCAAAGCTTGGACAGGACGGATATCAATCGCAAATACTATTCAATGTCTCAAGAGCTGAAAGCAGCTTTAAAACCACCCCCAGAATTTAAAATCAAAATCAATTGAGAACTCGGCTGAATTGACAACCGGCGGTCACAGTTTTCCATCTAGATGAGGGATAAGAAGAGAACCAAGGTTGTATTCGAAATTTCGTTTTTTAGCAAGTAGCTGTCCTAAGGCCTAAATTGCGGACTAGTTGCTACGGTACTACCTGGTGATCATCTCCAGCTCTCCGCTCAGTTGCGACGAAAAACCATTCGGAACGAAGTTGAAGACCAGCTGAACTTGTGCTTAGTACTGTACGGTGCTGACGGATCGGTATTGTTGTTGTTCTAATTAGCACGATCTCCAGGGGGCTCTGAGTCCCGAACATTTTAGTTAATCCGAGCAGTCAATTAATGTGTAGGCCATAATTATTACTATTTCTGTCTCGTATTAATGTGTAACTGAATGTCCCTGGCAATGTAATGCTAGATTTAATTTAAGAATGGCATTCATGTTAAGATACACCAGATACATTTACCTAACTACTAAAGGGATACTCAATTGCAATTAGTCACGAAACAAAGGAGAATCGAAGCTAAGGGTTTGAGTTTGATAATGTATCGTATTATGGCTTTTATTTTATTTTAGTGATAAATTATATAGATTCATACGGAGATCCATTCAGACAAGTAAATGACCATAGTGCTACTTTGGTTTTATGTATAAGCTACATTTGTGTCTGGAATAATATAAATGTGTTAGCAATTTCAGGGGTTACATTTGTGGCACTTCGTTTGCAGTCAGGGGTTTTGAATTTTTGTACGGGATCTTCTCCGTTTGAGGTAGTGCGTTAGGTAAGTGACCGGTACAATACAGTATGTTGAGTGATGACAAAGGCATTTACTGCATATTCCTTACAGCGCAGTTAGCAAATCGTAACAGAAAGCATCAGCAAATGTCCAATTGCGTCGGAAATTGTATTTCTTAAACATAATTAACATTAATATAAGATGCAATAAACAATAAACAATTCTGTAACAGATCTTTTCAGGTCATTTCGGTTCATTGCTGTTCCTCGGACCTTGTGAGTCTTTGGAAATTTAAAACGAGTTTTACATGTACCAGTCCATTAAGAGCCACACCGGCACTGTGGCATGTACGGTCCTACACAACCTTGCTATCGACTTAGATTCATCTCCAGCTCCGTCTCAAAGACTTTACGACTTTAAATGTTTAAATAGTGTAACGCTTACGGCCGACAGGTACTGTGTAAGAGCCGGCTTACCAGAGCAGGTGACGTCACCGCCCTTCCCAGTAATAGCAGGACCACAGCCCTTAGGCTGTGAAGAGATCTCTCTTTGGCTCACCGGGCTGGGTCGCTGCTGAGAGATGCGGGAGTCCCGGGTTTGAGCCCCTGACAGTGGGGGGCCAACCTAATGCGGTAAGGGCGCCCGCCTGAGCCCCGGTTGCGTTACAATATATTTCAATATAGCGCCTTCTTTTCCTGGCTGTGACTTATAAAACAGCAAAGTCACGGCCACCAGATCTTTCAGTTGTGATCTTTTGATCAGTTGATCCCTGACTTTGCAGCCTTTACGCGAATAAACACTTACATTCAGGGATTAGTTACTATGTTAGTTCATTGGGTTACGTGTTTTGTTTTAATTTTTAACCATGTTCTCGAAAATGTATTGCTTGTGTACTCCTTTCATTGGCGAAAAGACACCGGTTTCCAAATTACCGCTGGTACAACACGAGAGCCCATATTCACATTTAAGGTATTAGTTTCAAGATCGATATAATTTGACAATAAAATAATACAATTGAAAGCACGAGCATAATAATTTAATGATCATAGACTTTACATTTCTATTTATTTTTTAAGTACAAAGCAGGTTTCCCCTACCTTAAATATATGATTAAAATAGTTAGAATACCATGTATTCATTACAGAAAGCAGCGGAGACAGCTATATTGCATTTAAATGTATAAAATGTATTTATTTCGAATAGTACGGGTCATTGTGAATCAATGAAGACGTTTAAAGAATAAGCCGATGTAGTTATTTTGCAAATAAGTAAAAATACATTCTCATTGACAGTTAACAAGCCGATCCGCCTGGCGCTGCTAGCTTGAACAGCTCTCAGACCCGTGATTGGCTAAACCCCCGAACAGCTCGGGTCGCGATTGGGTGAAGAGAGAGACTCGACACTCTGATTGGTTAAAGCGTCACAGCGGAAGTTCCAACAATATGTAGATACACAGGTGATGGATGTTCTTCTTGGTCTAAATACTGTAGCCCCGGTTAACCGTGTGTTCTGTATGTGCGATATGACATACCCCGACAAAATGCCCTGCGCCCATTTCGCGGCAAAAATGCCCTGCCCCATATCGCGACATGACATGCCCAGCCCAAAACGCCCACCCCCCATGTTGTGACATGGAGTCCATATATTGCGATATGACAAAAAATTGTCATGCCCATGTCGCGACATGAAGCCCGCATATCGCGATATGAAAGACCCCGGCAAAAATGCCCCGTCCCATGTCGCGACATGAAAGGCACTATATCGCGATATGACATACCCCGACAAAATGCCCCGCCCCCATGTCGCGACATGGAGTCTATATATCGCGATGTGACAAAAAAAATGTCATGCCCATGTCGCGACATGAAAGGCACTATATCGCGATATGACATACCCCGACAAAATGCCCTGCCCTCATGTCGCGATATGGAGTCCATATGTTGCAATAGGTACTATCTGGGTATGTAATGTCCTGATATAGACCTTTGTTGCGACAGCGGTGTACGGGGTCACTGGAGGTCAAAGTCACCGTGCATGGTCATGTGATCACCGGAAAACCAACGTGCTGTATCTCGGGAACGAAAGCAGCACAAACGCTACTTTAAACTGCACAAACCGGCACAAAGGTAGCACTAACGAATGAGGGGGGTTTAATCGCACGTATGGGTTTCAGAGGTTGGAGTAAATGCATCGCCCCAAGTGTAATATCGAATGAGGCGCCATGAGAATAAAAACTGCAAAGGTATGAAAATATTAAGTTCTGAAGATCTTGTTTGATCCTTCATGATGCTTTTAAACTTGTATGAAACCCACGAAATGAGTATTCTAT